TACAGTACGTCAATATAACTATATCTACGTCTTGTGTACAGTACGTCAATATAACTATATCTACGTCTTGTGTACAGTACGTCAATATAACTATATCTACGTCTTGTGTACAGTACGTCAATATAACTATATCTACGTCTTGTGTACAGTACGTCAATATAACTAAATCTACGTCTTGTGTACAGTACGTCAATATAACTATACCTACACCTTTAGTACAGTACGTCTATATAACTATACCCGCGTTTTGTGTACAGTACGTCAATATAACTATACCTACGTTTTGTGTACAGTACGTCAATATAACTATATCTACGTCTTGTGTACAGTACACCCATAAAACTATATCTACGTCTTGTGTACAGTACGTTACAGACCCGTACACGTTCGCTGTTCCACCTTGGACGCAAACGGTACGGAAGTGCTACGCAAATGGTACGGAAGTGCTACGCAAACGGTACGGAAATGGTACGCAGGTGCTACGCAAACGGTACGGAAGAGTTACGCAAACGGTACGGAAGTGCTACGGATGACGCTTACAAACGGTGAATCGTTTGTTGTGACAAGAACGGGTTTACATAAAAAGCGGAACCACATTAAATATCTAAAACGAAACGAACATACCCACATAGGAAAAAACGTCAGTACACTGTAGGCTACGAGGATCGAGGCACACAAGAATGATTTAAATTTTGCCATTTCGTTTGCATAATGGATGCGTGTGAAACAAACAGAAATGTCTCGTGATTTATAAAGATAAAGGTCGATCAAATATTGGTACATGTAATTATAACATATCCATCACAAAGACCTGACGTACGCTAACAGATCAACGCGACACACAGATAATAAATCAGTTATGGTCAGAAGTATTTCCACCTGCTTACCGAACAAAAGACTAATTAATATTGACAGTAAGTAAACTTGTTACAGTTTTTTAACAAGAAACGTAATAATTGATAAGCCTAATAATAATGATAAAAAAAAAATATGATTTCAGACTCCTGTGTTAAGGAACCAGTACCTCTATTTCTATTTTTTATATTTTCTTTAATTTAGTACTTCCATACACTTTTAGATTTTTCGTAGGATTTGGAGACCGATAATGTGCTTAATTATTAGTACATGCAAATACATGCATCGGAGATTTGAAATGTATACATGTTATACCATGTCTATTAATTAAATTTCATTCACAGATAAACAAGTTTTTTTGTTATACATTGTACGTGTATATTGTTACGGGAGTTATTATATATATTTTTTCAGTTTGAAAGGCAATCTCGTGCATGTAGGAAACTATTATGATTAAGAAAAATAATATGTACTAAATATATGTAATTTTCACATTCATGATATGTACCTCTAGTATTAATAAGAATATAGATTTTCTTTATCGATCATAAAAATGTAGGTATCTATACTGACTTTTCTACAGGTAAATCTTACCTGTCTGAATCCTGGTACAGGAGAAACTATGACTGTCTGCCTGAGGGGGGTGTACTTCAGAGAGTATAGGGGTCTGATGTCAGATAACATAGGGACTGAGACCAAGTCAAACTTCAATATATCTACAATATGTATTTCTCCGTTTGTACATGTACGTTTGTACCTAAATAGGCGTGAATCAAGGAGTGTGGGCTTAGGGCGATAGCTTCCTGATCAGGGTCCAGGGGCAATTAGCTCACAATCTCTTGTCTCTAGTTCTACATGAAAAGTTATGGCGTTGAGGATATATGATGACATTTTCCTGAAATTTCAAGTTAACGAGTCTCCATAATTAAAGTATTTTTTCGTGAAACTGGTGACGGGGAATGGTAGCGCACACAAAATCAAGTGAAAATGTTTGCTTTAAAGTATACGTCTCTGACCGTTGTCAGACTTTTTATAGACAACACCACAATAGATGAGTGGCAAAACTACATAACATTTTCTTTGTCTGTGCTCAATGCACAATCCATGTAAGTGTAAGTGCTACAATATTTCATATTTTGTCATACATGTACGTAGCCTCATCGCCTAGTTCAAGTTCAAGTTCTTTATTACTTTGAGTCGTTCGACTCACCAGTTACAAAGTAACAAACTTTCTGATATTTACTGTGCAAAATACAAAATAACATTACACAACATTACACACACTCACAACACAATTACAAGTGAAACTATACCTATTTATGATAATTAGGTTCCTCTCGAATTTGCAAATTTTATATATTTCCCTAATTTCTTTTGTATTTTTCACACTCAATAATCCTTTCAATTTAAATATACTTGGCTTTTTAATATAATAAGTTTTCCAAACAATTTCTCGCAAATCAGAATGACATGGTCTTCAACATCATACACACTCGGCGATTCAATGTTTTGATATCGCCTTTTTCTAATTTTAAGTTATGAGGAGATATTTTCTTTTTTGATTTCTTTCAGATATTCTTTTTGTATGGGTTTACGCAGGTAGTTATGTAGATCAAAATGATCATAAATATATCTATAAAAAAATCTTATTTTTTCTGCACATTCTTCTCTAAAAATATCAATAAAGCTTTCTTTCTTTAATTAATAAATCTTGTTGTCGTTAATATAATGTTTCAAAAAACCCCACCTAGGCCAGGTTAATTCCAGCCTCTGATATATACTGTCCACTGTGTACCTTGCTAAAGGCGCTAAGTGGTACTAATTGGTCAACTGTAAAAGGTCAATTATCTTTTTCATTAAACCATGTAAGTTCATAGGTACACTAGCCTAGAACCGCTTGACTGATTTTTGACACCTTTATAATTACCACACACAGAGAGGGCACTCCGTTAACAAACTTACTCTAGACAGAGACGTATTGTAATATATACGTCTCTGCTATAGACAACAAGGAATCACACTCTATTTTCTCAGGAACTCAGTCACATGATGACAATAAAGTTATCTTCATAATGTTTTTTAAATGATTAATGAAAAATATCATCATTTTCAATAATCGGATATGAAAAGTTTGTTACGTTAGTATTCAACCTTGCTCTCTGATAACAGAACTCATGATAGATTATTTTAAAAAAATAGATTAGTTTTAAAACAAATCATCCACGTGAGAAGTTAAATATCATAATAAGGGCCTTTATTTCTTTATTAAATTAGGAATTCCAAGTTAAATATTAGGTAAACTTGGTTAAGGCACTGTTATGAAATGAATTTGTGCCTGGGGCTGTCATTTCCTCATCGAGGGACAGCCAAAGTATCTTACCTGTAGGTTTTTACCTTGAACTGATTTACCTGTATACAGCTGCACGTGATGGATATACAATGAACTGGATTAATTGACATTGACTTAATTGCCTTGAAATCAGAGAATGTGAACTTGATCAGGTACAGCACATCAGAATCCAAAGTGACCACAGGTAAATGGTCGATGCATTATCACTGCCTAGATTCTCAGGTATATAGATATCATATTGAAAGAAATGTATCTGTCAGCGGGTGGTCATGTTGCCCTAACAACCTTTATAACGGACACTAAAGTTGTTTATACCTTAAACAAGGGACAGGTCATAACCACATGGCCAGCTGTCTGCCTGTTATTTAAATTAACCCTAAGGCCTAGCTGCTGGTGTGGGGAACACACAGTAGGCCCATGGGAGGAGGGCTGTTACGTCCATATATATGTAAACCGTCATTTTTTTCCCCTTCAGACTATTATGATAGTTGGAATAATTTTCACGTTATGCGGTTTATAATGATTTTTTTTACAATTCGTTTCGACAAATATACATTCCGTAAAATTTTCGACCGAACGTTTCACAAACGCTTTCTAAATGGAAAGATGTAGACGCAAGTGCTACGGAAACGCTACGGAAGTGCTACGGAAACGCTACGCAAGTGCTACGGAAATGCTACGGTAATGGTACGTAATGTAATATAACTATATCTACGTCTTGTGTACAGTACGTTAATATAACTGTACCTACACCTTGTTTATTATATAACTGGTGCTAATCCCCAGCCCTGATTGGAGGAGCGACGTCGCGTGACGAGTCTGTAAATATGTTACAGACCTCGTTCTATAAATAAAAAAGTGTTATAGACCTCGACCTACATTGTACATATAGAAACGTGTTACAGATCGCTACTAAAAACAGTCCGTGGTAATTTCCCAGATAGTCTTTAAATCTGTTACCATTCACACTACTGAATTCAACTTCAGTTCAAATTCTTGTTCAAATAATATTTACTTGAAATTAAATATCATATGAATTGAATCTGAAAAAGTATTAATCTTATTGTAAAAGTCATATAATAAAACAATTGTGGACTTCAGTTTCGGTCTATCCTTGATTTACGGACCTGGTCTGAATAATATTCACCTCGGCCTTCGGCCGCGGCCTCTGTGAATATTGTTCAGTTCAGGTTCGTAAATCAGGGATAAACCTCACCAGAAGACCATAATTGTATAGTACAGTACGTCAATATAACTATACCTACACATTGTCTCACGTACAATTATTACACATAATAAATTAGTGTACTTGCATTTATTATAACAAAGAGGTAAGCAGAATACAGCGAAATTTACCTTCTGTCCTAGTCAATTTCTCTACATGATTTATTCATGACGATCGTTAAACTATGTATAACATGCATCATGAAGAAATGTGTGATACGATTTTGTTACAGTTGGTATGATCGGACATATCATGATGTGTAGAGAGTAATATTTGACACTTAAGAAGTTTATAAATCAAATGTGTATCGTTTGAGGTGTCATTTTCACCGACAGTTGATTAATTAAAAACCCTGAAATGTTAACTAATTACTCTAGAGTGAAAGATCAGGGTCGATAAGTCCAAACACCAACTGTAATACAATATCGGGTCCCTTTGTTGTATAACGCTTACGGTATTCCCGCGCTAAACATGTAGTATTTGAGTAGGTGCAAAAATATGTTTTGAAACGACCCCCGAAACACACATATTTACACACATACTTCACGCTATCTTATCGGTGTTTCTTACCTGCTCTCTATAGTGTCATGCCATCATGGGTCGTCACCTGGTCGCCGAGTGTATTAAAGCTTCTTAACAAATACGTCATTGGACCATACTTATATAAATAGAACTGAAACATCTCAGGTCAAGCAAACCACGGCGGGCAATCACAGATAAGGAAATGTGAATACGCAAAGTACCCCCCCTTCATGTTTTTGTCCGGAGAACTTGACCACGTGACTGCACAATGCACAACTTTGGATCGGTATTAAGCAAGTCAATTCTTAACATCATTAGATAATAGAATGCTAACAGAATAAATTGGCTTGAATAAATCACTTCTGTAAAGAAAACAATTTACACTTCGAGAAAAAAGACCAGCAACACGTACTGTCGCTGTAACCGAGTGAGTCACATTGCACAGTTCCATCCAAAATTACTAATGTGAAGAGGATACTGTTTGTACGAAAAGACACAGTGCAGTGGGACAGGGATCCTGTAAAATCGATTGACTTAGAATTACATAAGAAAACTCAGAAAATATCTTAATTGAAAAAAACGACTAAAATTAAACAGAATGTTAATACCGGTTCGCTTCAAAATGGGAAATACTTTCAACAATCGACATTGCCTCAAATTTACAAATGCTTGCATCGATCTACGTCACTTCCGACAACAACAGAGACATATGTACAGTGCACTCTTTAATTATCGATAGATGGCAGACTTTTGCCAGAAACATGTTTTTACTGGCCTAGAAACATGTTTTTACTGGCCTAGCTACATGTATTAGCATCGACATTGAAATTGCAATCTTCGCAGATATTCTTTTTTGTGTTTCAAACAATCACATGTCAGACTTAATTAGAATAAATATCTCCTTTGAAATATTTATATTATTATTCAGTTATTTCAATTTATATTCACATCGAAGTCCCACCAGTCTTGTTTTCGGCTACATGTAGTACCCTGTACATTACGGTGTACTAAAAGAACATATGTACATCAGGTCAGCACTTAAAACTTTAGTTAACTTTCTTATAATTACTTTACAATAAAAAATACCGAACAACATCCTAGATACTTAAGGGGTTACGCTCACTTGCGCTCTCTGCACCCCTGGAATATCAAAATTGAAGGTTTAGTGTGCGCCACCTTGTTGACTTGATGTACATCAAAAGAATCTCGCGGTCGCGTAACGGTCAAAAATGACTGGCTTTGAAGTCGGGTGTCTCTCTACTGTAATTTTCAAAGGACTTGTATCAGCCTGACGATTAAACATGTGTTTTTTTTACCCGGGACCAATCAAACAGCTAACTTTGTGCCTTCAATTTTGCTATGCCATATTCCAGCGGTGCACAGATCTAGAGCGTAAGTGAGCGTAACCCCTGGAATATGGAAGATGACCGAACAAGTGTTATTTCCATGAATCAATGGACACTGTGTCATGGCACATTATCCAAGCGGGTGGTCTTAAATTGAATAAACTTTAAAGGGGCTAAAATGAAGTTACATTTAGTTATTGCAATAATTGGTATTTAATTTCCGCAGATATAAATCTCAGTTCATAATATCAAAATATATAAAAGTAGTCACCAAATGTTTTCGGAAATTATAGTAGAAGTCAATCGGACCTGATTTGCTCGTCTGCTTCTCTTGTTACGTGAAGGAGAAGTTAAAATGTTTCTTCTAACAAGGGAGAAAATGTGCAGCCTATATATATGTCTTACTGAATTGCCTGTGACCTAGCGAGAAAGGTAACAAATGACCTCATATGAATCTCAATGTTCATCAATGATTTCATACTCGAGATGTTACGGTCATTTACGTCCTCTGCATCCCTGAAATATGTCGTAGCAAAAGTAAAGGCCGCCCGCACCAAACTGTTTGATTGGTGTCAGTTTAGATAACCTTACCAATCGCCAGGCTAATACCTGTCACTTTAAAGTTTACAAAGTGACGAAACCCGCCTCCAAAGCCAGTCAATTTTACCGTTACGCGAACGCTAGATTATTTTGTTGTACACCAAAACTTCTTAAATTGTCTCATTAGCAATGTTGTGCACACGTGCACCGAGCCACTAATTTTGCTATGAGTAAAAAAATAGTAAAAAAGAAAGAAAACAAGAAAAATGCAGGGATCGACCTAGAAACTAATGCAAAAGTTCCTAGGTCGATCCCTGCATTGTTCTTGTTTTCTCTCTTTTTTACTTATTTTGAAACATTCAAATTTCGAAATACTATAACTCCGTCAAACGCATGGCAATTTTTAGTTTTAAGGAAATAGTGCTTTTGGAAAGGGCTTAACAATAAATATTTTGCAATAGTGGTACTGGTAATGATATATAGTTAAATTTGTTGATACCCTTGTATTGAAAACGACGACCAGAACATAAATTCCATTTTTTTCAAACTTGGAAAAAAAATAGTAATTTTGCATCTTTTTAATTTTTACCTGAAGGTGTGTCATTGATATGGAGATACACTTCAGTTTTCAATTCATCAAAATAAAAGATCACTTTGACCTTTAACCTATCGGCGGAAGTGAGGAAGAAAAAAAGAACAAATACGTTTTTCAATATATTTACCGTTATTCGGATGAAGTTAATCAAACGTACGATTTATAGCGACTGAACTATGCAGTCTACTATCACGGAATGTTATCTATTTCCGTGCTATTATATAGAACGCACAATGACCTTTCGAGACGTTCCCCGTATTTTATCTAGGTGGACGTTCTGTGGTGTCATACCTACAAATGTGTAGTGCATGAAGAGCGGTATTTAACAAACTAAAAGATGGCAGCTACAACAGATAAACCCGAACCAAAAGTGGTCTACCGATTCCTCGGAAAATCGGGACTGAGAGTGTCCAACATTTGTCTTGGAACAATGACATTTGGCAAATCTTCTGCATTTGAGGTTTGTGCTATATTGTGTAACCTGAATATTCACCCTGCATTATTTTGTTCCAGTGATTGAACAATGTGTAATTAGGAAATAATTGTGGTAACTGAGATTGACTAACTTCTTTCATTTATATTGACAGGAATGATATTTACAAAACTACGTGAATTACATACAATGTAGTATATGTGGCATATGTGCGGTGTGATATCATACGACACAGGCAGGTCCAATGTCCATATATCAATGTAGAAGTGTAATGGAGTTATCCCCCTTTAACCTATGTAAACGCTGGTTTTATGGTAAATCTGACAGATTGGAGCAGGGGCGCTTCACGTTAACATAATGGTGAAATGAAGGATTTGAGCAGTGAAGCACCCCTGGCCCACCCTAAATTTCTCTACCCCAGACTTATTATTTTGTGAATTTCATGTTCAGGACATCAAACTGATCTTAACTAATATTTGGTTTAAAAAAGTAAAATAGGAAAAAAAAGCAAAACCCTTCATTTCACCATGGGGCGGCTCATATTACCATAATGGTAATATGAACTGCGGTTCATTTCACCATGGCCTTCATATTACCATACTGCAACGGGATTTAAACCTGGGACCTTCTGAACTCTAGATGGACGCTCCTGTAATTGAGCTACTAGTCTGAATTATTCTGACGTTTTATCGACTTTTTTCATATCGGTCTGTCGTCGGATAATTCGGACTATTGAGCTACCTGGTCCCTGGTGAATGACCTATCCAATTTCCGTTACATTTCTCTCTTATTCCTACGACCCTGGTTTGTGTAGATTAAAACAAGAGTTGACAACCTAGCCAATTTTGAAATGAAAACCGGAAAAATGTACTGCAAGATTGGGACTCAAACTATACAAGTACAACTGTAGCTAAGAGGTCATCCCATTACCCTTTTTATTGTTTTTAACTTTCCATTCCAAACTTGAAATAGTCATTTAAGTACAATTTCATTCATAATTGGGCAATATATAATTAAGGTATTGGTTCATTTTTTAATTATATAGCTCTTCAATGGACCTACCCAAGCTGATGAAGCAGAGTCACACGCTATCCTGGACAGATTTGTGGAGCTTGGAGGAAACTTTATAGACACAGCCAATGTATATAGCTTGGGGCTATCAGAAGAAATCGTCGGTTCCTGGCTGAAAAAGTGAGATTTTATCACATCAATTTCACCTACAGTCTAGTTATTCCAGTGCTGTCTAGAACATTCTTTGCCTATCTGCAGTTAACTAATTTTCTATCTAGTTTACTTCATCTCTGTCTAATACCACTTCCTGTCTGTCTAGTGTATGTCCTGTATGTCTGGTACACTTCCTGCCTGTCTAGTGTATGTCCTGTCTGTCTGGTACATTTCCTGCCTGTCTAGTGTATGTCCTGTATGTCTGGTACACTTCCTGCCTGTCTAGTGTATGTCCTGTCTGTCTGGTACATTTCCTGCCTGTCTAGTGTATGTCCTGTATGTCTGGTACACTTCCTGCCTGTCTAGTGTATGTCCTGTATGTCTGGTACATTTCCTGCCTGTCTAGTGTATGTCCTGTCTGTCTGTCTGTCTAGAACACTTTCTGTTTATCTTGTATAGTTCCTGTCTGTCTGGTACATTTCCTGCCTCTCTAGTATACAGCCTGTCTGTCTGTCTGTCTAGAACACTTTCTGTTTTTCTTGTATAGTTCCTGTCTGTCTGGTACATTCCCTGCCTCTCTAGTATACTGCCTGTCTGTCTGTCTAGAACTCTTTCTGTTTTTCTTGTATAGTTCCTGTCTGTCTAGTACATTTGATTTCCTGCCTGTCTAGTATACTGCCTGTCTGTCTGTCTGTCTAGAACACTTTCTGTTTATCTTGTATAGTTCCTGTATGTCCTGTATGTCTGGTACACTTAGACATCTAGTATACTGCCTGTCTGTCTGTCTAGAACACTTTCTGTTTTTCTTGTATAGTTCCTGTCTATCTGGTACATACACTTCCTGTCCTTCTAGTACACTTCCTGTCAGTATTGTATAAGCTAGGGTCATACAAGTTTCGATTAAGGGCTATCAATATATATTTGAAAGAATAACCTTGATCAACTTTCAAAGTCACTGGCCTGATGAAATAAACATGTTATTCTGAATATTTGTTTTGTTGTAAACACAATGATATGCTATGAAATTTGATTTTAAACTGAACAACCTTTACCTAGTGTCAAGTCACAGGCGCAAAACAAATAAAGAATCTTTAAGCTGCTATTATATAAGTCGTGAATGATATTCATAAGCTGTAGCATGCTACAATAAATGGTTATTTAGGGTGATCAAACGAATAACCTTGACCATATAATTTTTCTTACCAGAAATATTTTTCCCCCATGGATGTTTCGCTCTGAGGTGCTTAGCTCATTTACCTCTAAAATCTTATAATAGACTCTTTCAACCTTTGAATTTGAAGAGTTCACATGTATCTTCAAGGGTGAAAGAGTTAAACAGTTAAGGTGTTGATACATTATACAATTCACTTGTGAAATATGATTTCAAACTTATACGGTTAGTTCAAATTATAAAATTGGGTAAATTTCAGACAAAAACGAGAAAACTTTGTCATAGCAACAAAAGTCCGTGCTACGATGGGATCAGGACCAAATGACTTGGGTCTGAGCAGACGACATATCCTACAAATGTGTGATGACAGCCTTCGACGTCTGCAGACTGACTATATTGACCTCTACCAGGTAAGCTTGAAAGTATTAACACATTCACCCTTGAAATTTCTTAATGAACCATTCCAACCTTTGAATTGGAAGGGTTCAAATGTGTCTTCAGGGGTGAATGAGTTAATGTGCTTAATCTTTTTTTTGAATACTTGATAAAAAAAAATCAATAGCATAAAACATCGCCTTGTTGCTATCATAGAAAAGGAATCAAGAGTTTAGAATTGACTGTTGGAGAAGTGCCCCATACAGAACTATTAAGTTAAGGATGAATGCATGTAGCAACTTCTTCAATGGAGGCGGTCATAGCAAAATAGTACAAATGACTTTTAAATCAATTAATATTTTTTTTTTTTATAGAGACACTTGCTTACAAAATCAAATTTGATATATCCTGTAACAAGGCAACAAGGGGGTATACTGGAATCAGGTTGTCTGTTTATCTGTCTGTCCATCTGTCCATTTGTCCATCTGTCTCTCCGTTTGAGATGGAGTCTTGTCCAGATAAGTCCTACAGTTTCTGTAAGATTTTGTGAATCTCCACTGATGTTATTACCATACATGCATTCTGAATGCCTTGTATATTGTTGGGAGTTATTCCCCTTTAACAATTTTAATACATGTAGTGGGATATTGATCTTGTGTAAGAAATTTCTCCTATAGCTTTATCCAATTCTTTTTAACCTCCATAGCACTTTCAAGTTATGTACCTATGCATGTTTTTTTTTTCAATTCCCGCTATCTTTTTTTGGAGTGATACCCCATCTTTGCAAAGTTAGTCAAATATTGTGTTTAGTCAAAGTTTGTCCACACAACGCTTCCCTACAGTTTTGATACAGATTTAATGAAAGCCCATTGATATAGTAGCCATACTCAGATGTGGTTGGCCAAAATGATTTTTCTCCTAATTGGTGGGAGTTATGTCCCCTTATCATACCACCATAAGATTCATGTCACAAATGCTATGTTGCGACTTATTTAAAAAAAAATACATGCATATAACTCATTCACCCCTGAAGACACAGTTGAACTCTTCCAATTCTATGGTTGAGAAAGTTCATTGTGAAATTTCAGGGGTGAATGAGTTAAGCTTGCGTTACCTAATCAATGCGTCATTGCAGACTCATGGTTGGGATTCGGCAGTCCCCATAGAGGAAACCCTTCGGGCGTTGGATGACCTTGTCAGGGGCGGCAAGGTTCGCTATGTGGGCGTCTGCAATGTCACAGGCTGGCAGATGCAGAAGATTGTCGACAAAGCGGAAGCAATGGGAATCAACTCCATCATAGGTCTACAGGTAAACAATATTGTTTTGGTCTGTATGTAAGGGTAATAAAATACATTACTGTTGTAAGTATATGATGTACCAGTACTAGTGTTTCTTCAATTATAATGTGAACATACAAGCAGGTTTAGACTTTTTGTATAATTTGTCTTATCTACTGAATATAAAGTATGATATGTTTCTATAAAACCCATGATAAAAGTATAACATGTTTCCTGTACCTACCATAGCGTATGTGTTCCTTGTCCTCATTATAAGATGTAGTCCAAATTAAGCAACTTCCTCCTTTTAAGATTTTAATCTCTGCCCCATCAAAAAAATATTTTAAAAGAAGAAAGTCAGTTATTTCAGTCTATTTAGAACTCAATGTAATTCCTGCATCCATTATAATATAATATAATGTTTCCATTTCTCATTATGATGGTGTATACTGGTAGTATGCCTACTGTACTCAAAATTGAAGACACGTTTCCTGTACTTAAAATGAAATATGGATTGTCTCCTTTACTCAAATTTAAGAACTGAACATGTTTTCTGCACTAACGAATAAAAAAATGTTTTTCCCTTTTCTCACAATAAAGTATGAATTGCGTTCGATACTCAAAATTAAGAACACGTTTCCTTTACTCAATATAAAGAATAAATTGCCTTCTCTACTAAATATTAAGGACAACTTATTCCCTTTATGTTTTTTATGTTTTCCCTCTTTCTCAGATAATCAATATAAAGTAGAATATACCTCATTTGTAAGCTTAATAATGACATATTTGTGTTAGTTTCCTATTTATTTAAATATGGTCCATCTGTGAATATTAAACATGAAATGCTGTTTCTGTGAAGTAAGAATCTCAAGTGAATTCCCCGTTGATTGATTTTATGTTGATAGCAACAATACAACCTGTTATGTCGCCATCCCGAGTTGGAGGAGTTTCAGGTGTGCAGGAATGAAGGTGTCGGTGTACTTCCATGGAGTCCACTGAAAGGGTGAGAACACAGTAACTAGCCTTGTCGACAGCCTCGTTTTGGAATTTTGATCATGAGATGCAATATAAGCTGGAGGTCAACATATATATATATATATATCAATCTAGTGTCATTCTGATGTCTTCTGTGTACTGCGGTGCTCTACTGTATAATTTATAGTTTGCACTCAGCCAGATTGATGATCTTATGGTGTTGCATGAGTATATAGATATGCTTACCCATCATTTTGTCCTTCAGGGGATTGTTAACAGGAAAGTTCAAGCGTGGGGCCAAACCAGAAAGTGACGGTTCTAGGATTGGGTTTACCGCCGCCAAGGAGTCAAGTAGAACATTCCAGAGCAGTCCCGGTTGGAGCAAGTATGAAGATAATGAGTTTTACTGGAACCTTGTGGACGTCATGTCCAAAATAGCCATTAGCCATGGTAAGCCTGGCCAGAGTTATTGAAGATACAGAAAAGAGGTTAATTTCATTGTAGAACTGATTTTTGTCCTATGTTTTCTTTTTCACAATTGCCACCTTTCACAATTAAGCTGCAGCTGTAATATTCTAGGTGTGATGAACATATGAACTCTACTCGTCACAGACTGGAAAAAATATACTGACAAATGTCTATTTCATCACAGACTATTATTACATTTTATCACATTTGCATGAATTTTTGTCAAGTTTTCTTTTGTTGGAAGAGACATCGCTAGTTTTTCCTTCTTGTACGTTTATCTTCAAATCACACATTTGTTAGTTCGTACTGATATGCTGTCTATGTTCTTGTTTGTAGGTAGAAGTGTACCCCAGGTGGCACTGAGGTGGCTTCTGCAGAAGAATGTGGTGTCGTCAGTGATAATCGGTGCCACCTCAATCAAACAGTTGGAGGACAATATGGGAGCCGGTACGGGCTGGACGCTTACCACAGAGGAGGTGTGTGAAAACTACGGTTGTAAAACAGATCTATTACTGCAGATTGATTTTAGTCCACAGTTAACTGGCTAAGACCAACAATTATAGTTACAGATGGACCTAAAAGTGTATTTTCGATGTTAGGTCTGGGATATCCATCAAGTATCATTGAAAATATTATATGACACACATTTTTCCATGATCCTTTGGGGGGTCATAATCATATGGAGGTCGGTGATTTGTGATGCTACTATTTTAAGAAATAACAGGTCAACTTTATGGTGTAATTTCAATTGTTGAATGTCACATTGCTTTCAAACAAATGCAATACTTACAATTAAAGGGCTTTTTTCTGTATATATGTAGGTCCAGATAACAACATGTTCACCTCCACGAAAGTCAATAATTGATTAATATTTTAAATTATAAATTGAAGATTTGGTCAGTCTGAAGGTATTTACTTTTGTCATGTTTTCAAAAATTGTGAAAATATCATTTAGATTAATTGACTATGTATTTCAATGTAAATGTGTACATATTCATCAAGATTGAATAATTTAATATTACAGATGGATGAACTAGATAAAACTTCAAGCGTGGAACTACCTTATCCCTACGAAATGGTCTTACGTTTCAATAAGGACAGGAAAAACCCATTCCTCGGAACGTCTTCTGTGGAAAATACACAAGAGTAAAAACCAATGCAAAGAAACGCTTCAAGATTGATAACCTCAAACATTTGTGTCCCATCCTGAACATATTTTTTTTTTATTTTTTTTATTTTAAATGTTAATCGTTTTGGACATTATTGTATTCTGCATAACCAAAGTTCAGCTATAGTTTAGGAAGTTGCATTGAGCTTGATAAGTTACACCTTAGCTACTCAGAAAACAGACTTTTTCTTTTAGTACCCCCATGCCTCAACATTCCTTAAGAAACTTAAACCTGTATTAAGTTGGAGTAGTCGCCTGCATTTTTAATACCCACTTACAAGCAATTATCAATGGAATGCCCTTTTATCACCTCGTCTAAAAACGTTATTGTTGAGATATTAAAATAAAATCACCTATAGTTTCGCTTTATTCCAAATAAGAAATGTAACCATACCATGTCTTGTCATTACGTTATATGGCTAAGAGGATGAGGTGTGTTCCTCTCCTTTCTCTGTGACCCTTCCTTTTAATTCCCATCCGTAATCACTTCCCTGAAAATGCACTTCCTTCCACCCAATCAAATTATGGCTTTGACGTCCCTGATATATCTTATACTATTGTATTAACATTCAATCAACACATTGTTTTGTAGAATATATTTTTATTGATGATTTTTTCAGTATAATATTCAGTGTCGTTAATTTACAGTGAAGTTATACGAAATTAATTTATTTTCACCTTTGATGATATATGGTGGAGTATCAATTTTATATTAGCCAATAAAAATTGTATTTCCTATTTCCTGCCGCAGACATTCTTTACAGCTGAAGATGAAACGACAGAAAAATAAGTGTTTTCTACCATCTTTGTATAAAAGTAATAAATAGAAATTTTAATGGTTTTCTGGTTACATATGTAAATGCCATATCTATTTCACTTTTATGACAGAATATATTGATATTTTCAGGAATGCGAAGGACTTGTGAAAAATATCATTATTCTGACATACTCGAGAAATATTGATGGTATTAAACGGTAAAACAATTAATTTTCTTATATATATATATTGGTCTAGTCATTAAACCAAAAAAGAGAAAGTTATTCACAAAGTGCTTTATGAACATTGAAATAAACCATTTAATAAAACTTGTGCATTAGCTCAATTTTAGTAATTATATTTTTAAATGCGTCATTGATTATCAATTTGTTTTTTTATGATATTAACATTTATCAAATATATGCGTATCGATCAGAACAAAATAAAGTTTATATCAACTTTTTTACATATCTGTTAATTTATCAAATCAATTTATCTGTGATATGCACACTATATATTGATTTAAACATATTTTAATTGTTATTCAACACTATACATGTATATACATTTATATAATCGTGAAATAAAAATAAATTGAGGATTAATCTGGCGTATTGATATTTTCAGCTCCATATTCAGTCATTTGCACAGAATTTACAGATACAGTATAACATCATAGCTTATCAAAGTGGAACGGGTAGGGAGATCTGGTTTAGATCATAATGCCTCTGTAGCCCATTTTGAATAGTGAGTTGATTGTAATACTAATTCTGGTATCGCAATGCTGTTTACAAGGATCACGCTGATTGGCTAAATACCCACACAAATCAACAAACGATAGTACACTATTGCAAACTGTTGCTGCAATACCAGAATCGAACGAGAATGCAACAGTAACTGGACCAATGGTGATTCTTTTTGGTTCATACCAAAGTCCTTGAAAATATTAGTTGTTATTCCATGCTTAACGTGCAGCATCAAGGGTAATGACAACAACTGATTAACCCGTTGTCAGTATAATGTGACCGGGCGGAATGTTGTGCTGGTTGACTTCGGCATGGTGTTTCAGAAAGATAGCACTATTAGTCAGCATCAAAATTCGCGCTATCACACGGAGGCAACCACACCAACATACCCTGCCTCCTGCACACTCGCAAGCAAGCACGCATGCACAACATCCATGGAGACACGTTCTTAAATGACCTTAATTGTTGATAGGACGTTAAGCAAAATAAAACCAAACCAATCCATCATAACTACTGTATATTAGGTGAATTTAAATAGTACTTCATAACGGTGCCAAAATTGCGACTTTACGATGATGCTTATTATTTTCAACAACAAATTACTTTTTTATCGGGTCTCAAAAAATGTAATGAATGACATATTTGTGTGTTGTTGATAAATATTGTAATAACAATTCACGCGTGGGTCAAATCAATACAGCATTGGTTCAGTCACTCTAAGAACATAATTGGGATCAATCTAATTTGTGACTATATTGAGTTGGTTTATTCACAATCGTGACAATGTTAGTTTTCAACGTCAACCATAGAAATATATCACTGCATCAATACCACAAAATTGTAACTGAAAAATTGATTGAAAAGCATATAAGCACCTAGTAGACACAAGCAAGAGAAAGTCTTCCAAGTAATACAGCTATATTAATATATATATTATACAACGTTGTATATGGCGCCCCATCTAGCTAACATAAGCCACTATAAAGCGCTTTACAGTACATAGATATACAATTATTACAATTAGCATATACATTGATCGATACAATTTTTAGGATTTCGCAGGAACTACCTTATCAGGCGGAAATTACTAGTCCTATGCCACCTGGCTTATATATTCCTTAGTGTGTATAACACGTGCTTCTGAAAGATAAGTAATTTCCTTCCTCAGATATGACACCAGTAACATGCTTTTATAAGTAATTGCGATAAAGCCGAAAAATGTTTTGTACGTAATCCGGTTGTTTCTGTGTAATCAACCATCACTGTCCAATTTCTTCGAAGTTCATTTTCACAAAAACCACCACGTGTAAAATGTCAAAAACTTGAAAAGGTTTGGATGAAAACAGACGTGGTGATTATCACGCCGCGCGATCGACAGTAAACTGGGATACTATAGTTGACCAATAGATTTATGTATTTTCCAAGTTCGTTGGCGAAACTGTTACGAATAAAATAACTCATACAGTTATCGTCCTTCGAAACATGACCCTCGTTGGATGCATAATGATAAACGTAAAATTATTAGATCTAGAAACAGAAATCACTCTAAACCCAGAGCTACACAAAATATGAACAAATAGGACAATATAGAAATCGTTTTCTTGATGCAGTTTGCAATGCAATAGAAATTGTAACTTATGAACTTAGGAATAAGAATACGACCCGTAACCGGTGGAAATAATAATAAATTTACAAAACCTTCCTTTATATAACATTCAATACTTATACTTGTACACAACGGTTAGGAATATTCAGAAGTTAATGAAACATGTAATTTTAAATGAATTCTTTATTCAACAGAGTCAACTTCTTGATGAAAACAATGTACTCCCTAACGAACACAATGTAGAATACATACTAGATAATAAAACTATCACGATTGAAAATGTATTAAATCCAATAAACATTCTTAATCCATCGAACGCCTTCGACCCAGTCTTGGTTAATAGCAGAATTCTGCTCGAAATGTTACCTAGCTAGGAAGTTTGTCAGTATTGATACTTTGTAAAAAGATATTCATTGGAAATAGATCGCTGTGAAAAAACAACAACAAAATATACAAGTTCGTAAAAGGGTTCATTTTATAACTCCCTCCTGCCTTTACGATCTCGTACCTCCTAAACATTCTGAAATACATACCCGAAATACTAGACAAGCAAGTTAGATATCTATGGTTAAAGCTAGGGCTATGTATAAAAAAAAATCTTTGGTCGTCTGTTGGTTTATGGAACAAGCTACCAAAAAGAGTAAAACAAATCCCATACCTTTCTCCGTTCAGGTATCATCTGAATAGAACTAAAACTAAAGCTTCACTATATCGTAACCTGAGAAACAGCTTTGCGCAAATTCATCATAATGGATACAATGTAGTTGTATACTATGGGGAAATCCGTCTTTACATGATATTCATTGGGGTGCAGAATTATTTACAATTATATGCGGCTTATAGTAATGGTTTGGAGTGAGTTTTAGTTTTTCAAATATATATAGGATCTAACATGAGTTTCCATTTCATATGAGATTTATAAAACGAGTCTTAGAATTTTTCAATTTATTGAGATACAATGAAAAATTCGTGACGAGTTAAGGCATTTCTATCAAGTATAAGCAATGTGCTGGACCATATTTGCACATTTTAGGGGCCAAAAACAGCTTAATTGGTTGGCTTGATGTTAAGGTTTTTTTTGTAGTGTTGGATCACCACCATTAATGGACTGTTGTCTATTATAAGGTTGGGGTGTTTATAAGGAGTGCAAGCAATGTTCTGAATTATGTTTTCATTATTTTAGGGGCCAAAACTGGTTAGTTTGACCTGGTTAAAGATCTTGGGCAAGTGTTTTTGCAGTGTTTGAACAGTCATCACCATCAATACGCTGTTGACAATTTGACGTTGGCTGGTTATCTCGTCTTACATTTTAAGGTACAGCAATAACTTGTTATATTGCCATCATTTGTTTAAAGAAATGTTGGCCTTATAAGGAGGTTTGGCGATAGATTGAGGGAAACATATAAAGGAATTCTTCAGAAAAACACAATTTAGGGACCCGGTATGTTTGCAGTGAGGTGACAAATGAAACGACGGGCATTATATCAAAGTTTTACTGTACATTTGTTTCTATTGATATTTGCGATCTTACATCATATATCACTAAGAGGCGAGCTATGCTGTTCTCCGACAGCACTTGTTTTGTATGGGTATTGCTGTAAAATTACGTCATAATCACAAACCCTAATGGTAAGATTTAATTTGAAAATATTGAACTTGTACACTAGTTAACGTAGTCGATAGTAAGGCAACATAAACAAGAGGCCCAGGGGCCTTAATAGCTCACCTGGTATTTTATTTTTCAATTTAAAACCTGCTGAGTACCATTCAGGTTTATCAAAGGAGTACAAGTAACAAAGTTGCATCTTCCATTTATAAATATTCAATTCCCTTTGCCCAAAGATTCTCTAAAACAAGTTTGGTTAGGTTAAAATCCCTTCAACGGTACAGAAGGAGAAGGATCTTTAATGTTTTCCTCTATTTCCCCTAATGGGCCCCACTAATCTGCCCCAAAGAAGGGGAATCCACACACCTCAGTTTAAACAAAATTGATTCTTTTCTCCCTAAGCATGCTTCAGACTGCATTTGGTTTAAATCCCTTCACTTGTATAGTAGGAGAAAAAAAATCCTCTATTTCCCCTATTGGGCCCCGCTCCTATGCCGCCAGAAGGCCCACACCCTCCGTTTATACAAACTTGAGTCTCCTTTGTCCAAAGATGCTCTAGGACAAATTTGGTCAAAATCCTTCAATTGGTTGAGGAGAAGATTTTTAAAGATTTACCTATTTTCCCCTATTTGGCCCCGTCCCTCTGCCCCCAGGGGGACCATACCCTCCGTTCATACAAAACTGAGAACCCTTTGGCCAATGATGCTCCAGACCAAATTTGGTCAAAATCCCTTCATCGGTACAAAAGGAGAAGGATATTTGATGTTTTCCTCTATTTCCCCTAATGGGCCCCACCCATCTGCCCTTAGAAGGAGGCCCACACACCTCAGTTTATACAAAATTGATTCTTTTGTCCCTAATCATGCTTCAGACTGCATTTGGTTAAAATCCCTTCACTTGTATAGCAGGAGAAAAAAAATCCTCTATTTCCCCTATTGGGCCCCGCCCCT